TTTGAGGGTAATGCCATGTCCCAATCCCCATACAAGGATTGGGCCATCAAGGTCCTCCCCAATACTGGTGCTGACATGGTTCTCCAGCTTACTGCTACCTTCCAGTCTCCTTACTATGGATTCCCTGTTAAGGTTTCCGGAGATCAAGCTCAGGGAGGCAGCAATGGTATGATTTTGGGCGTCACTGGCGCTAACGACTTCACTGCCTTCAAATTTGCCAACAATTTGTCCGTCTCAATCCCCAGTACCGGTTCCGTCACCACCACATTCAACGTCGCCTTGAATACTCCCGTCGGTAATTCCAAGTCTCAATGGCAGGCCCTTGTTGCCTTTGCCAAGACAAATGGTTATATTCCCATCGTCTTGTCGATCAACGCTAACGTCGTCATCAACAATGATGGTGTTGACCGCATTGTTGACTGGGGTAGCGCTATTGCTGGTTCTGAAGTTCAAAAATTCAAGACTGGTCCAGACTTTGCCAGCATCCTCAACTTCGCTTAAACAAGAGTTATTTTTTAATACTTAGCGACCTCTTGGTTGATGATCAAAGGATATATGTCAATAAAAAGTATATATTTACAATCAAAGCAAGGACAACAATATATCACTTTATTAGTTTCAAAGAAAGATATCTATTTTGAAGATGTTGATGGCCCACGCCAATAAAGGACACGATTCATACCCTCAAAACTCAGCCACGCTGTCTCAGTGTTCGGATGGAGTGCTGATAGCCAGGTGACAAATCATCATAAGAAGTGACTGGACGCATCAGTGAACTTTGTCTCCTTCGCTTCCTTCATTTTTGACAACTTCTTCATTCTTAACCTCGATAAAAATGTCATATTCGCCATTATAGTCGCGGGAAAGCAAACTCAAGCCGGCTGTAGTCAAAATATCTTTATTGGGTGTCAGGAAGTGTTTGATCACTTTTATCGCTGACTCCTCCTCCATTCTGGCGTCCAATCCCTTCGCAAACAGCTTCTTGTCTGCAGCATGTGAGGCCAGACACTTCAGTAGCAATATTATCACGTGACACTACTTACTAGTATCTGCAATCACGTGATATGATAATCTTGCATTGAGAATAATTATTATCAGAAAATCATGGCCCACATCAGTTACCTTAAGGTTTCGTGTTGTAATTGGTTAGCAATCAAGACTCTGAATCTCTGAATCTTGCAGTCCGAGTTCGAGTCTCGGCGAAACTTCTTCTGTCCCCTTTTTTGCTCGTACGTATGTGTAGGAAGAGGAAAAAGATAATCTCACCATGGGGTGAACAGGTTATTCTTACCATGTAATCATATGTGTCAAATTGAACTCGCACTTCATACTCAATGCACACATGTGCGAATCAATGTCACTGTGCAAATTTATTATGACAAATAGGCTGCACAAAACGTTGGACAGGGTGAGAATAACTCGTTCACCCCGTGGTGAGAATATCGTCATCCATTCTATTCCACCAAACGCTAAACGGAAATTCATTTGAGATATGGTATTTTTTTTTATTACATATGCAATGACAGCTGACGGCAAGGGAGTAACTTGCTAGGGCAAGGCTCAAGTAAAAAATTGCAATAAACGTGGAACGTGACCAACCTGGCAGGAGATTGGGTAAATGGATGCCATTTTCCTATTTTCTGGCTACCAAGGTACATTTCTCATTTTAACAAGGTTTGTCCAAACGCTCAACTTTGGAGAAATAAGTCACTCGGAGAGTTGATGGTCTAGCATTTGCAATTTCCCGAAAATCTATTCAACTATTCCAACGACAATAGGTTTATCTATTGTAATGAATGTAATCACAAACCCCGGCTGAAGTACACCGTTTACCAAGAAAGAGCGCCTAATAAAAAAAAATACGGTATTATCGAGAGAAGATCTGTAGGCTATGAGTATTCAGTGTAAGTACCTCTATTATGGATTTCTTGCTCTCGTCATTCAGGATAATAGGCTAATTGTAATTATTTAAAAGGGAGGCCACGTGCTCTACTCACTCGTTTCCATGTGCGAAAAAAAAAAAAAAAAAAAATTGTCAGTCAAAGCATGAGGCTATTTGTAGTTTTATTAAACTTATGAGTGTGGTTGATTGTTCATGCTCATGGAATGCCCATGATCGAGTTCCATAAAAAGATTGTAATTATAGTTCTGCTTCACGGAGGATGATACATGGGCTTATTGTAGGAATTAAATTAAAAAAGGGGTGAAATGAAGACGGATGGTTTATACCATATTACTTTATGACCTGAAAACGAGCATGTAAGCTGTTATATGGCATCATAGTATCATACGTGAACAGTAGAAATATATCTTTCAATAAGATATGATATAGATAGATTTGAGAGAGTGTGCCTGACCATGTACTGTAATGTCGTAATGCATAGTGTGAATGTTCTGTGCGTGAGAGGAGTTTTTTTCCATGTATAAGCAAGACGGCGCTGTGGTGGGTGATATAGAATGATGTGTGGACAGGGATATGATAGAGTTATTCGTGACCAATCGCCGTGGCATGTCTCCAGGCACAACAGCAGAAATGATTTGTGATGCATATGTGATTCAGAGTGAGATTGAATATTGATTTTTGGTTTTGATGTTCAGATCGTCAATTAGAGAAAAAATGAGCGCTGTTCGTCAATGTGGAATAAGATTTTGTTTGAGTTGCGAACAGAAAAATGCCTCAAAAAAAAAAAATTATTGTTTACTTTGTTGTGCTAAAGATAATAAGATAAGTATATGTGCGAGTGGGGAAGAGAGACAAGAGCCACAAATGAGCTCCGAAATAAAATAAAATCCCTCAGCGTTCTGTGCAGCCTTTTTTTTTTTTGGTCTTTCTCTTCTTCTCCGTCTCTTCTGTCTTTCACTCTTCTTCACCTTCACTCAATCAATCACTCTCTCACTTATCCCTTCTCTCAGTATAGCATGTTGGGTTGCAAAGAATAACAATACGCCCCATTATCACACTTCCTCCAACCTCAGTCGAAAGAAAGAAAAAACAACTTTTCTGAAAATACATTCTGATCTGTCAAACACACTTTCGACTATAGATACATCTATATACATCTCCTCACTTCTTGCCAAGGAAATACTTCATTCCTTCTGTATCATCACAATAGACCCTTTTTTTTTGTCGTTTTTCTCTGCTTTGCCCATATTTCATTATTTCTGTACATTCCAAAAGCTGTTATAGTAGTATTCCTGTATTTTATATCCAACAACCCTACATACATACCCTCCCTACTCTACTCACAATGGTTACATTCTCAACTGATTACTGGGCCCCAGCTATGGAGGTCAACGTCCGCCGTCGCCAAGAGAAATCGCCTCTCCAAATCCAAAAGGGCCAGCAATACTCGCAGGATGAGCATTGGAACACCTTGCGCCAGGTCCCTACCGTCGATCCTACCACTCCTTTAGGACATTTTTCAGCTATGGAAAGCGAGTCCCAAGCTGCCATCAAGAAGGCTATCTTCCCAAAGCCCCCACCAGTAGCCATCACGAACAAGAAGCAGACTCTCATCCACAAGATCTTCCATCATGAGCCCAAGTCTGCCTCTCTCAGCCCTCCTAGCTCTCCTATCTTTACCAACAGCCCCGTTGAGCAGGATCCACATTTGTTGAATGCTTCTACTCCTTTAGAAAAGAAGAATATCTTCAACTTTGCCAATGTTCTTGGACGTGCTTCATCCTTTGGAAGCGAACGTAGTGACTCAAAGAAGGCTGACTGCACATTGTTCAAGAAGTATGGACTGTGCGATAAGGGCAACATTGGTCAAGGAGCCACTGCAGTTGTTCGCTTAGCACACAAATTATCAGATGAGGATGACTCTGAGAAATTGTTTGCAGTCAAGGAATTCCGCAAGAGGAGAAAGGACGAGACTGAAAAGGAGTACGTCAAGAAGCTGACAAGCGAATTCTGTATCTCTTCGACTCTTCATCATGAGAACATTGTCGAAACTGTGGATCTGGTCCAGGATGAACATCACCATTGGTGTGAAGTCATGGTACGTATATTTTTTATTTATTTATTTTAAGCAAGAATGAGAAATAATTCAAACGGGCTGTGGCATTGAGTGTGTGTTACGACACTTATCAGCCTAACGGCTGTAGTTGCCTTTTGCCCTTTTGGCCTACACTCTTTTAACGCCCCATTTCCGTCACACTGCACACACAAAAAAAATTCGTTCTGATGTTTCTATTTCTATTGAATACAGACCAATCATACTAACTATCTATCGCTTTATTATTGTCGCTATTAGGAATACTGCTGTGGAGGCGATCTATATAACTCTATCAAGCAAGGTCACATGTCTCGAGTTGAAATTGACTGTTGCTTTAAGCAACTCATCCATGGTGTCGCATACTTGCACTCTATGGGTGTCGCTCATAGGGATATCAAGCCCGAAAACTTGCTCCTCGACGGACATGGTCGTCTTAAAATCACCGACTTTGGTGTCTCCGATGTCTTCCGTATGTGCTGGGAAAAGTCTCCTCATCTTTCTAAGGGTCTCTGCGGGTCAGAGCCCTACATTGCTCCAGAAGAGTTCAAGAAGAAGGAATACGATGCTCGCCGTGTCGACATTTGGGCCTGCGGTATTGTTTACTACTGCATGATCTATCAGGGAATCCCCTTCCGTGCTGCCACTGCTCAGGACCCCAACTATCAGCATTTCCTTGACACGTGTGCCGTCAACAGCTATGAACCTCTCGAAAAGTTGCCCTTTGGCGCAAGGAATCTCATGAAGAAGATCCTTGACCCCAACCCAGAAACCCGCATCACTATTGAGGGCGTGCTTGAGGATGAATGGTTCAAGAGCATTGAGACCTGCATCCATGGCGAGAATCAGGATCCTCATCGCCATTTCGAGCGCAGTATCTAAATAGTAATAACAATAATAATTACATTCAAGACGAGCAAAAGGTGATAGTTGGGATCAACTTTGCATTCTCAACTTGTATATATATCCCATCGTTTCCATGTCTCCGTAGAGCACTATTCACTGTGATTTTTATTCTGGTCAACCAACATAAAACAATGTTAATTTTTACATTCCATACATGGCTGCAAATGTCTCGGAGATAATTTAAAGCGTGTTTTTTAAACGTGCGCCTGCGTGGGACTATTTTTAGCGAAGACCGAGGTCTTCTACCATGATAGCTGCTTCAATTACACTCTCAAGCTGCTCCCACCGAGACTTCAATGATCCTCCAAGTTTTGTCAAAAGTTCAGACATGGCACGCCATCCAGATGAGCCATCTTCATCTGTGCACTGCCAACTTGATTCATCGGGGTATAATGCATGTTCTAGTCCCGTTCCTACAATTTCTTCTCTTCTGATGCCTCGTGCTTCAATCCAAGACCAAATCAACACTTCCAACATCATTACCGTCCATTCGACCTGTTCCAAATCCTTGGGGTTCCATTGTCCCATATTGTCTTGATCTACTAATGATTTTTTTGCGGCCGCCGTTTTCGCCTTTGCACTTTTAGTGGTAGCTGAGTTTCCAGACGGCCGTACCACATTAGGCATTGCATATTCCTCTACCACTCTTCGGAAACTCAATTGTGAATTCGCACTACCAATTATACCGCCTCCACCTGTAGCTGTCGTTTTAGATCTAAACCAGAGATCGACCAAAATCATAACAAAGGCGCTCGACCCCATACAGACACCTGTTTGACTCTTGAGCACTCCATTGTAGTCGTCTTCGCCGAAAGAATAGCCGTCCTCGTTGGTACCTCTTGACCGGGCCCTTCCTTCTTTCCTCAGCTTTACTCCAGCGCCAGAGCCAGTACCAGAATCAAGTAAACATGGCCCCTGGATCAGTGCTTTTAAGAATATTTCCATTTGATCCAAGTTATATCTCTCAAGAAGATACGTCGTCGCTGATCCTGATCGTTTTGACCCTTTTAAGCCTGCTGAACTTGGCACCTTTCTGTCCTTGTTCATTTTGGTTAACCTCGACAATACCTCTCGCGCCAGCTCCTCCAACCCCTTCCCAGGTAAGAGTTGACCTGCTTCTGTGAATCGAATTAGAAGCAACAAAAACTGCTGACCAAGCTGCAGGATCTCCATTCCTGCAGAATTCAACGTGCAGCGTTCATTTAGTGGCCAAGGTGCTATTGACTTGGCAGTACCTGTTGACCCAATAGCAGCATTTCCTCCGAGCATTGTGTTACTGGGTGGCTCAAGATAACGAGAGGTAGTGG